TGCCTCGTGGACGTTTCTCATTGGGACGTCCTGTAGATACCCCAAAATCAGCATATCCCAAAGAAAATTCCTCTTTCCCCCCAACGCATCTCTCTTCTGAACTTCTCCATTGTGGTTGAGGGTGCTGCCATCTTTCCAGTCTGGTGGTCGACCTCCTTGCCACTGTGAACTTCTTTCTTTTCCTCATGCCACGTGCCAGTCAATCACTGGAGCTTATTCCTGCCTTCACAGCATCTGTCACACGTCTCCCCGCCTCTCCTCTCACAGAGCCTCCCCCCCACTTCAGCCTCTCCACTGTGCCTTGGCTGATCCATTGCGATAACTTCCCACTTGGTCTCCCTGCCTCCACCCTAACCCCACCCTAATCCACCCTCTACTCCGAGGTCAAAAGGTGTCTTCTAAAGTTCAGGTCTGATACCTTGCTCTGCTGCCTCCGACACATTCTAGGGAAAATCCAGCCAGCCTCTATTACCTGGAGGACCAAATAGAAGCTCTCCTTGACATTGAGATCTCTCCACAGCCTGGCTCCAGCCCACCTCTCCTGTCTGTTTACGTCTCCCCTTCATCTGCTCTTTGGTTGATCCAGTCATATTGTCCGGCTTGTCGCTCCCCATCTCCCACCTCCCTACCTTTGTATTAACTGTCCCTGGTCCTCTCTCCCTACTTGTTCCTTTTCTAATCAGAAGTTTCTGGACTCAGCTTCCACATGGAGACTTTCCATTCCACTACCTCAGTTCCTAGTGGCCTCCCTTTCCAAATTCATTCATTTTGTATGTAGCATCCATCCATGCATCCTATCACATATATATATGATATATATAATTTCATCTCTATCTCTCTCTCCCTCTCTCTTCTTTCTTCCCTTCCTGCCTTCCACTCTCTCCTGGAAGGCAGGGACCATTTTAGGTTTCTATCCCAGCACTCGACACATAGTAGGAACTTAATGAATGTTTATCGATTGAGTGATGTGCATGTGGGCCTCAAGCTTCTGCTGCTCCTTTAACCCCAGCTGGTTTATTCCCATTAGAAGCAGGATGGATGCCAGGGGTATTCAAAAGCTACAGAAGCGATGTCAAACCACGTGTAGACCATTCCCTTCAGCTTGTTTGTTGCACAAATCAGGGAAACTGGTGAAAGAAGCCTATGAATGGTGGGGAGGGAGACGATGATGATGCGTGTGGGGAGGATGGGCTGGCCCTTGGGGAGGTTACCTTTCCATTCTGCCTCGTCCTTTGCTGCCTGATCCTGAGGGTTTTGCTGCTTCCGTCTGGCCTTCTAATCTCCTTCTAACTCAGTGCTTACTATGGGCTTGTGAGCCACTAGAAGGCAGAGACAAGGGCTATGAGTCCCACTCACTCCATTGTCTTCTCCCGACGCGGTGCTTCCAAAGTGTCTGCTCAGTGGACTTGACTCAAGCCGGGCTGTCCAGGCACCGTTCCTTCCCTCCTTTCCAACGCTGCTGCTTTTGATCACTCTTGTCCAACAGCTCTCTTCTAACTTAACCTGAGCCTTATCCAGATGACTGACTTGGAAGAACAATTCTTTCAGGTCTTTCCGAATGACTTTGGGTCAGTTACCCATTCTATTTCCTTCCATTTTATTGGATTTATAATTGAATTAGAGTTAAATGATGTGCACTTGAATCTTGCCTCTTCCACTTATTTATGTGATTGAGGGAAGTCGTTTAGTCAGTAGTCAATAAACACTAAGCACCTACTATGTGCCAGCCACTATTCTCAGCCCTGGAGTACAAATATGAAAAACAGTCACTGCTCTCAAGGAACTTACAATCTGTTAGGGGAAGATAAAACGATAGGAGCACACCCAGAACCTCTCTTGGCTTTCCTTTCCTCCTCTGTAACACGAAGAGATTGACTTCTTTTTCCCTGGATCTCCCCACATGCCACCTGTTCCCAGAGGGACCTTTAGGTGCCATGTGCTGCTGTTCTGGACTCCTGGGGGCCACCTTCCCACAGAACATATCAAGCATCATTCAAAGTGTCTCGAGCCAATTGTGGCCCTTTGGTGCTTCCCAGATTCATCAGGAGATGTAGAGAGGGATGGTGGGGCATAGGGTCCGGAGCTTCCAGAATTAGAAGTTTATGCACACCCACACCCACACCCACACACACACACACCCCCACACCCACACGCACACACACCCCAAGGCTTGGGAAGGCCCAGGTACTTCTCTGGCTCATTGCCATCATTCTCTGACTCAACCTTGACTTTTGTACCAGATGGATTTTCAGGTGCCTGGCAATGTGGATTCAGGCTGGAGGGAAAAAAAAATAATAAAAAATTTCTCTGTGGACTTAAAAAGTCTTATATCTTTTTACTTCTGCATCATATTTATTTTAAAATATATCCTCTTATTGTCCCAAACACAATGTAACATCCTTTGTATACATATTAACTTTTAGAAAAACTTTTATTCACACCATGAAATAAAGTGGGGTCTGCAGGGAGATTACTAATGTGTTCTGATTCCATTGAAATCTGTCATTCCTTTCTTTTTCTCTGCTTATCAGAAATTTTAAAACTTTGACCTATGTTTATCTGGCAAAGTCGGAACATATTTTGCCATGTATCTAGTGGATTAACTGCCAGAGCTTTGCATATGAGATGTTTTGGTTTTTTTTTGAAGTGAAAGAGTTGGTCATGGTGACCTCCCTTTCTTCTCTCAGTCTCTGGGTCAGTAAGCTACCGCCATAGTTCGATCTCTCTGTCCATCGCTGATTGCGGTTCAGCCCCGTTATTAACCCAGGGAGGGTAGTTGTTGGCAGATGAATGCTGCCATAATGTCTGGTATCTCTGAGAGCACCTCAGAGCACCCCAAGCTGTATTGGATGCTTGAGGTTGACAGGGTGTAGCTGACAAAAGGAAGGAAAGGAGGGAAGGACCAGGAAAGAGGGGGAAGCCTGTGTGTGTGGGGAGATTGAGGGGTCTGGGGTATGTGGTTTGAAAACAAAGGACATTTCTTTAAAACATAAAGTTGTCTCTTAAGGATTCGAAATGTTACCATTTGGGCATCTTGGGCATTTTCAAATCTGAGATTGACTTGACTTCCTGCATCTGTGATGTTTGGAGGACATTTTCACTTGTTCTAGAATCTGCTCAGAATATCAAGACAGCCATTTCCTATATAATGCCTGGCCTTTCAACTTGGCCTTTATAAACTTTACATATATGCATACATGCACAAATACATACACATTCCCATACACACAACCATGTATACATACTCATCTGTACACACAATTCACACAAATGTATATATACTCACACACATATATGCATGCATACACATCACAAGCATATGCATTTATACACACATAAACACATTCACATGGATACACATGCACATACCACATCCATATACCTACACATATCACCCACATATACTCACATACCGATATGTACACACATATGCTCACACACACACTCATATACACATGCATACAGGATACATGCAAACACTACTTGTATATATACATATATGTATACGTATACATACATACAAATCTACATGTACCTACACATGTATCTATATCTATCTGTCTATGTATCTATTTTTCTATCTATATGGAACTACACCTGTGATTTCCTGTAGCAAACTGCAGATGATGAAGCTCCCTTGGCCAACGCAGGTTGGCACCTTTTCTGCCACCTGCAGGCTTAGGAAGTTGCCTAATTGCATTTGAGATAAGGAAAACGTTCCCTGCATATCCTCTGAACTAGCTGGGATCTGATCTAATTCATTAGAGCCGATTGGTCTTAATTCTCCGAGAGATATGCCTATGATATCAAGAGAGCCGGGCTTTAAGTGCTGTCTGTGACGCTTTCTGGTTGTGTGACCGAGGGAAAATCCTTTTATCTCTCTGAGCCTCAGTTTCTGTATCTGTAAAATGTGGATAATTATGCCAGTAGTTCGTACCTCACAAAGTCACGGTGAGGCTCAAGGGAGATGATGGCTTCCAGGTGCTTTGCCAACCCCAGCACTGCAGGTCAATATCAGCCAGTGTTATTGTTGGGATGGCTGTTACATCATGTAATGGGACAGCTGGGAAGAAGGTTCCAAGCAGTGGAAAAGAGGAGAGGAGTGATGTTACCAAGGGCAAATGGCAGAGGCCAGGTCCTTGAGCCCAGAATTTTCTTTCCTTCTACAACGTTCCATTTTTGTTTTGTTAATCTCTAGGGTCTAATAAGTGCTCATTGGCTGGCTAACCAGGAAGATGGAGAGCAAAGGGTCTCGGCCCATTCTCAGGTGGTGCCCCAGGCCCCTCAAGGTGTTTTCTTGATGCAGGTCAGACTGCTAGCTCTCACATGATGCTGTTTCTAACACACTTTCTTCTTTGTTGCTTCCTCTGCCATGGTGATGACTTTGGTGTAAGGGACAGGCCCATACTAGAAGGGCAGGGGTTTCCCAGAACCAAAGCAAGGTGTGGGATGTTTGGTTTTTTTTTTCCCATCAATGTTTGTGTGCTCCCATCATTGGGGAGGGGGCAGTGGAGGAAGGAGACTGGATAGTGGGCTGGGAATTCTGGAGCTGGTGACTTGGGGGTCTATAACCCTGCTGAGGGCAGGGGCCAATGGGTCTATTTCTTTGGTAAATTCCTTCATTAAGAATGGAGAAGGCCATTGATGATAGTCTATGACATTCAATGACAAAGTGGGAAGAGTCCTAACTCAAGTCCAAGGATGTAGTTGAATCCCAGTTTAGCCACTTAGTGCATGAGTGAATGTGGGCAAGTCACCGCCCCTCTATGGGCCTTGGTTTCCTCATGCATAAAGTGAGGAGCTTGGACTGGTTGGACTGGGGATCTTCTAGCTCCAGAACTAGGATCTGGTGGTCTTGGGGCAGGAAACTCCTGTGCTTGATGAGGATGCCAGTCACCTGCCATTGTTAATAAAGGGCTGTAAGGGTTAGTTCCTAGGCATTGCCTTTGACCATGTCAAGCCCTAATAACATACTCCATCTGTGTTTCTCTCTCCAATAGTGTGCCGGGACTTTGCTGTGTTAGAGGACCATACGCTGGCGCACAATCTCCAGGAACAAGAAAGTGAGTTGTGGCCCAGGCTGCCTTCTGTCTTTGCAGCCTTCCACCAATCGCACTTCCAGAAGCTGCCACTGAGAGGTGGCCAGATGGGGCCACAGAAGACCCTTGTGGCCAAGTAGTGCTTGGGGAGGAGAAATCTGGTGCTAACGATTGGGAGCAAAGACGGCCTCTTGGACCTGGGGGATGTTGTGGGGGCTGTAAAGATGGGCTGGGGGGGCCTGTGCCCCCTGGCCAGAGCAGGGCTGATGGGCTCAGTACTGAGGAGATGAGCCTTCTCCTCATTCTCCTTTTTCTATCTCCTTGGTTTTTGTGTACATATGTGTATGTGTGCGTGTGTATTGTGTATGTTGTATGTATGTATGTGTGCATGGGTATACATGTGTACGTGTGTGATTCTAGAAAGAATCCAGCCCAAATGCAGTGGTGTTTCATAGCCTAAACAGCTTACTATAATCTGTCATTATTCTTCGCTTTGTTTGAAACATGACATCTTGTTTGTGAAGAGAAGAGAGGGCGGGCATCGTGCTGAATGCGCAGAGGTCACATCCCCCCAGGAACGTCCCCCAGCAGTGACATCTGAGGTCCAGTCCGAGTTAAAACTACAAATGCCACAGGGTAGTAGAGCCGCCCTGGCAGCTGAGGGTGGGTGGGCCGCACTGACCCCTGACCTCTCGCCGTCTTCTTCCAGTTGAACACCACCTGGCATCCAACGTGCAGAGGAACCGCCTGGTTCAGTACGATCTCCAGGTGGCCAAGCAGCTGCAGGAAGAGGAGGACCTGAAGGCCCGCGCTCACATCCAGAAACGCTACAAAGACATGTGAGTTGGGTCCCCGCGCCCTGCGGGCGCTGACCTCTGCCCTATCCCCAGCACTACCCATCCATCTGGCTGGTGCAGACACAGGCACCATCTTTCCCAGCAACTGACCTCTTAGGGTCGTAGTACTAAGAGTAATAGTAACCAGAATGACTGCCTCCGTGGCACTTAGATGTTTGTGAAGTGCTGTATACATACACACGCACATACACGCGCACATGCGCACACACACGCACTCGCAGTTGAGCATCACAACAACCCCATGAGGTGAGTAGCACAAGGTGTTATCCCATTTTACAGAGACCACTTCGTGTGTGTCAGGGGCTGCATTGGAGCCCAGGCTTTCCTGGATATATAGGATCCTGGCATGTCAGAACTGAGAGGGAACTTCAGAGACCCCCTTAAATTCACCCCACCCCCATTTTACAGAACTCTGAGCCTAGAAAGGACCAAAAGGATGAGTGTGGACTGGAGCTCTTTGCTGCCACTTTGCCCTTGCCTATACCCACACCTCAGGTGTATCTTAGAATCAGAACCACAGAATTGGATGGGCATTCAGTGGTCACTGAGTCCAGAGTTTACCTAAATAAGAATGCTTTGGACACGATGCCTGAGAAGTTGTCCAGCCCCTGCTTGAAGACCTCCATGGATGGGGAGCTCAGTACCTCTCTTGGGACGTCTCTCATTGTTAGGAAGCTTTTTCCTACATCACATCTGAATCTGTCTCTTTGTAACTTGTACCCGTTGACTCAGATGGTTAATGTTGGAAGGAAACTGAGGACTCCTGTAAGCCAACCCATTTTAGAGATAAAGGAAGCAAAACTTCAAGCATTTGTAAGTTACTTGTTCACGGTCCCATAGTGAGTGAGTGTCTGAGCCAGGGAGCTTTCCCCTCTTCTGCACATGGGTTCGGGTTAGAGATCCAGTACTGGGGATGCTTTGCCTTGTACACAACAGTCCTCTAAACATGTGTTGAATAGAAGGCATAGAGGACATTTTAACTGTCTTCCAGATTTTGAAGGGTTAATATGTGGGTTAGGGATCGGACTGGTTTCTTTGGCTGCACAAGAAAGAACCAGGAGCTTTAGGCAGAAGCAGAGAGCAGCAAACTGAGCTTGATTCAGCAGGGGCTGAAATCATGACCAAACCCACCCAAAACGGTTCCCCAGTGGCACATGGTCTGCCGTGGTAGCGACTGGGCTCCTTCCCGTCTGAAGTCTTCCAGAAGAGGCTCCGTGATCTCGTGTTGTCATGGGCATTCTCTTTCCCAAGAAGCTGGGAGCAGTGGCCACCGAGATGCCTTCTGATTCGGGAATCATGGGAAGACAACGCCGTTGCCCGTGAACAACTTGGGAATAGCCTTGTTGGGCTAGTCAGGTGCTCAAATCATGCGGCAATGCGATTTTCTTTTTTTAGAAGAGGAAAAAAAAAGACCATCAACCCTGAGTCTCCAGTGAGGGTGCTCATGGTCACTCTCTCCTTAGGTTGTGAATAGGGAGACAGATTTGTGAAAGAACATCTTCTTACTTAAGTGGGGTTTGTTGAGATTTCTAAAAACAATTCAATGAAGAAAATCAAATTGGACATTGGTCACTTTCAGGGCACTTGAGGCTGGCTCAGCGGGGACTTCCTTCTGCCCTCAAGTTCTATGCTACTTACCTGCTCTTCTTAACTTTGCATGAAACCCAACTAACTTCTGGTCTTTCTAAATATGGCAGTTGTCACTCAGTCCCCTGAGTATTTTGTCTCTTCTGGGACGTGGGTAGGAACCATAGTCGTTCAGAGCGTGTGGGTCAGTGTGCTGGTATGCTGGGGCCTGCAATGGCCATCAGCCCTTCCCTTTTCCCTCCGGGAAGGCCACCACACCCAGCCACCGCCCAGCCCATGTTCGTGCAAGCCTACGCGAAGGTATATAGAAGCCAATTTAGAGCAGCTGGAACATGAACAAGGTCCAAATCTGGATGGTTTGTTTTCAACAGCCAAATTCCAGAGGCCAGCTGTCCAGGCCTCTCCCAGCGCCATCCGTCTCCATCGCTTGTAAGGAAATTCACCAAACAGAGGCAGGGGCTGCTGCAGAATGACAGAAATTTATCAGTTTTTCTGTGTCCAGGTTAAAAACAAATTGAGTTCGTTGTAATCTCCCTTAGAGCAGAGATGAGGCATTTTCTGCTTGGCTCCAAAAGCCAAGGGTAGGAGCAGTGGGGAAGAGGGAAGGAGGGAAGAAAAATTCTAACATTTTGAGCCATCCCAGAGTGCAATGGGCCGCTTCAGGAGGGCTGGCTTCCTCTCCCTGGAGTCTCCATTTGAGGCTGGATGGTTACTTGTCAGGGAGACTTTTTCAGGTATTTCATTTCTTAGGGTCCTAGCTTGAGAACCTGAAGGGACTTTAAAAGACATCTGAGCCAACTCCCTGATTTTACAGATGAGGAAACTGAGGTTCAGCTTGTTTAAGTGACTTGCCCAAGGTCACCAAGTAGTAACCATGAAAAGCTGGTTTGAAGCCACATCCTCTATTGGGGTCTTGGGTTCCTTTGTTCCATTCTAATGATGGGGTGCTATAATTCTGTGAAGTAAAACGGGGACACCCCCTGGTTGATTTAGGCAGCAGATGCATGTATCAACTCAGTCCTCTAGTCGTCAGCCATTGGCTTCTTGAACACTGTGATAGAATCCCCCTGTCTTGGCATTCCATCCCTCCTCCCCAAATCTGATGCCCAGCTACTGCCACTTCAGCTTCTCATGGGCATGTGTGGTCTTGCAGTGCTGATCCACTGACCATTCCCCCACTCTCCTCCTGTCTGCCTTTGGTGACATTGTTCTCTGTGTTTGAAATGCCCATCTTATAAGGCTCCAGGTGTAGCTCTAGGCCTCCTCTCTGAAGCTTTCTCCTCTTCCCCTCCTGCCCTCCCCCTTTAGATCAGCAACCTTTCATGGCTCCCTCTTGCCTGTAGAATAAAGTACAGACATCCTTGTATGGCTCTCAGTATTTACCACAATTTGGCTTCCTCCTCTTACTAGCCTTATTTCCCGTTGCTCACCTTTGTGCCAGGTTGAGGACTCTCTGCTCATGGCCCTTAGCTGCCACCTGTCCCCGCTCTGCTTCTCTTCAGACTGCCCTCAGGCCTGTGAAGGACCTTCTTTGTTCCAGGGGCCTCTCGGGCCTGGTCTCCCTCCTCCTTGCTCCCTCACTTTCCCCTCTTGTCTTCCTACCTTGGTTTGGCTCAGTTTCCCCTTTGGCTCCTGCACTGCCTGCCTGGTATTTCTCTCGTGTCTTTACTTGCCATCTCCTCCTACTCCCCTGTGGGAGTACAAGAATGGTAGCTCCCTGAGGGCAGACCCTGGGTCCCTTTGGTGTTTCTGTCCCCAGCGTACTCTGTGTTTTAGTTTTTGGGCCAGACTCATGATGTCATTCTTTTAGAGTGCACACTCCCTCCAGGGATATGGACAGGTACCTGCTCTGGAGCTTTATCTGAGAGGGTGCCAGTGTGTGGCAGGGGCGGGGGCCAAAGGCAGGCCTGCTTGGCTGCATGGCAGGCACCCAGCACAACATGCACCCTGTCCTACATGCCTTCCCCATAAGGAGACATTTCTCAAATGTTCAGATCCGATTCAGTGAGAACCCAACATACAGATGGGCAGGTAGCTGGGGTTTGGCTCCTGCTTCCTTTTTCATCTGGTCACTGAGCAGGAGCCCCTGGATAGAGGCCACTGTTTCTAGTGGCGGGAAGCCTCTGCTCTCAGCCCACCTGGGAGCTCGGGCTGTGCCAGCTGCCAGCGGATCTGCTGACTGCTCAGTAACGCCCTTGGCTTTCCTTCCTCAGGATGCTCAGGCTTTGCTCCCTCCTGCCGCCTGTGACAAATGTGAGTTCTTAGAAATAGCCAAGGGTGGGGCAGGGAGGGAGTCAGAGGAAGGAAGCTGATTGGCCAGGGCCTGACTCTTCTCCATTCTATGTTCACTCTGGTACTTTTCTTGTGGCTGAGGTGCCACAATGCCAGGGAGGTCAGGCATCTCCCTGCCTCATTGGTTCTTGCCACCACACTAGTTCTTTTCCCCACCCTCTTGGGTGACCCCTGAGCCAGCCAACTGGCACCCCAGGATAGAGGGCTGGCCTTGGGGTCAAGGAGGTCTGGGTTCCATTCCCACTTCAGATACTTATGAGCTGTGTTACCCTGGGCAAGTCACCTAACCCCATTTAGCCTTGGTTTCCTTATCTGTAAAATGGGGGTAAGAGTGGTGTCTGCATCATAGGATTGCCGCGGGGACTGAGGAGATGCTATTTATAAAGTGTTTATAAAACCTCACGTGCCCTCTGAATGTGAGCTGGCCCTAACCATTGGGACCCCTCTGTGCACGTAATCATTTGTGGTTTCTTGGAAAGCAGCAAGATTTCTTAAGAAATCCTTTCCCTTAAGTGGGAGGTTGATGACATGAGCTCTGGCAGTCATGACCAGAAGCTGTAGAAAAGAACCAGGACTTTGCTCCTCTCTGTGTAGATTCTGCATTCCTTAGTTTGCATGGAGTCCCAGAGTCCTTGTGAAGGAGGCTGTGTGACCCTGTGTAAGTCATGTTACCTCTGTCTGCCTCAGTTTCCTCATCTACAAAATGGGGATAATAACAGCACCTACCTCTCAGGGTTGTTGTGAGGTCCAACAAGATCCTCTTTGTAAAGCCCTTAGCATCATGCCTGGTGCATAGTAGAAACCATGTCACTGCTTACTCCCTCCTTACCTTCCCCATACTGAGAACCCCTGTACTGGGGCTCGATCACTAATGCCTGGTTAGCAAAGACCTGGGTCCCCTGGAAGACAAGGCTTGCTGCTGCCCACCTGAGCAGAGACAGGGCAGAGGGTCTGGAGGGCAGGTGGCTTCTGAGCTTCCTGGGTAACATGGCTTTGTCTCTTGTGCATCTTAGAGAACAGCAGGACTGTGAAATCGCTCAGGAAATCCAAGTGAAGCTGGTCATTGAGGCGGAACGCAGGCGCCTTCAAGAGGAGAAGGATGAGGTACTGTGGGCGCTTGGGGGATGGAGGATGGCTTCTGGGAGGGCTTCTGGCTTCTGGGAGTGCCGATGACCTCTGGGAGCGCCAATGACCTCTGGGAGTGCCAATGACCTCTAGAAGGGCCGATGACCTCTGGGAGTGCTGATGACCTCTGGGATGGCTGATGGCTTCTCTGTTGCAGTATCAAATGAAAAGGTGACCAAAGGGTCACCAGCCTCTTGTAATTTGGGAGGAGCCATCAAGAAGCTGACTGCCCAGGTTCCCTGCACAGAGAAATGAAACTTAAGATGTGTTGGAGGGCTCCCAGGCCTGAGGTCATTTTAGGCTCTGTTCTTGTGGCACACTGGGTGCCTTTGACTCATTCTTAGGGGGATGGAGAGAAGTTGTGAGCAAGGTGAGGCCTGGGGGGTGTGACCCCAATATCTCCTCTCCCCCTCACCGCTCCCATCCTGAAAAAGCAGACTCAGGCAGTTGGGTTCAGAGCCCTGTTTGTTCAGGGATTGTGGGGTGTTAGAAATATGAAATGACCTTAAAGAGCTGAGAGCCGACCCAGGGCTGTGGAGAGGGCTCGAGCTGGCAGGCGGCAGCGTCCTTTCCCTTTGTCTTCAGGCAGCTCTGTCCAAACGAGGGCCCTGTGCCCATCTGCAGCCTGGCCTTGCCTACAGAGCCAGTCAGGAGCTCTTCCTTCCTCCCTCACCCCCTGCTTCAAGCTCCTTCCAGAGAGAGGGTGGGAATGCTGATCTAGAGCTCAAAGGGATCTTGGAAGCCCTCAAGTGCATGCCCCTTATTTTCCAGGGAAGGAAACTGAGGCCCAAGAAATGAAGGGACTTGGCCAAGGGCACACGGGTAGTAAGTGACCAAGGTAGCACTTGGGCTCAGGGCTTTTCCACTGTGCCACCTGAGAGAGCGAATCAGACAGCAGAAAAGAGGAGAAATCTGGGACCTCCCATTTCAAACACGACAACATTCTGGAAAAGGGGTCCTTCAGTCATTGTATGAATACTTCTATTACTAGGGCAGCTGGGTGGCTCAGTGGATAGTGCACTGGGCCTGGAGTTAAAAAAGACAAGAGTTCAAATCCTGCCCCACACACTTACTAGCTCTGTGACCCTAGGCAAGTCTGTTTACCTCTGTCTGCTTCAGTTTCTTTACCTGTAAAATGGGGATAATAATAATACCTACCTCCTAGGGCTCTTGTGAGGATAAAACGAGATATTTGTAAAGTGCCTTACAAAATCTTAAAGCACTATACAAGTTCTATAATAATAGATATTATTGTTGTTGTTGTTATTATTATTGTTATTGACGGAGGTGGTGTTGCCACCTCACTAGGCATTGCCACTCAGTTTTCCGAAGGCCGATCCTTTTATATTCGAGGATATCTGAGCAAGGGGAACTTTTCCTCCCTTTCTCTTCTCTGTCCCTCCCTTTATGTCCACTCACTTGTTTATTCAGTCCACACAGGGCACATGTGGCTGCCCATCAGCTCTCCCCTCCAAAGATCCAGTTAGCGCCTTATGCTGCATCCGGCCCGATGTCAGCACAGCAGCCGATGGGACAACCCTGGGTTTGGGTTTTAGGAACTTTTAATTTTTTCCCCAGAGAAATCAATCAGGCCATTTATGCGCCAGGTTAGTGGAAGGCACTTCTTTAGATGCCGTGAATTATCTTTGCTCCTTCCTTGTATCAGTACAAGGCATCTTTCTGTGGAAGGAAGTATGGCCTTCCTCCTGCTGGGATTTTACCATGGGCTTCAGCCTGGCTGTGAAAGACGTGGTTGTGTTTGGGAGACAGGAAGGCCAGTCTGTAACAGCATCAGCGGGAGAAGTCGCGTCCCCATCAATGAGCCCAATGTCCCAGGGAAGGGAGGGCGGAGGGCGGCTGTGGGTATTATTTCAGCAGGAAGAGGACAGGAAAAAATAACACTTTCCATTTTGGGGGTGCCTTCCTGGGGGAGCTGCATCTGCTGGTAGCATCTTAACTGGGCTGGTTCAGTCTACAGGGGGAGATGTGAGCTGACGCTGAGTGGGGGAGAAGGAAGCCTGTGTGGCAGGTGCCTTGAAATGAGCTGGGACTTCATGCCCGCCACAGGCTCCAGTTTCTCCCAAACATTTCCCCATGCCCATGTCATCCCCTCCATGCTGTAATGAAGTGCTGGCTCAAACCCCGACTTCCCCTCACCCATCCATTTTCCTCCATCAACCCCCTTCCCCCGCAATCCCCCTATCAATGCCCCTCCCCCACCAATTCCTCTTTTCCTTGTCAGTTCCCTTCCCCCATCAGTCCTCCTCCTTTTTCTGGGTTGCATGAGGAACTTGGCTCTGAGGAAGTTTGTTTGGATCACTCTGTATCTGTGTCCCTGCAAACTCTCTGGTCTCAGGGACAGGATTTGAACTCAGGTCTTCTGACTCAAGAGCCAGAGCTCTTTCCAGGCTGATACAGTAATGTAGATGAGCATCGGGGCTTATGGCAGGAGAAAAGAGGAGAAATGGGTGTGAGAGGACTTAGGAGATGGAATTAAAAAAGGGAGAAAAAAGCAAACATTTGCTTCATTCCTTCAAGTTTTCAGAACATTTGACGTCTGTTATCTCATTTGGCTCTGCAGTCATTCAGTGAGGTTGGTGCTGTAAGTATCCTATTTTATAGCTGAAGAAACTAAGGCACGCAGAGGTTAAGTGGTTTATCCAGCTAGGTAAGTAACTGAGGCTGGATTTGAGCCCAGATCTGACTGGCTCCAAGTTCAGTGTTCTACCCACTGAGCCACCTCACATCTCTAAGACTTGGTGACTGATTGGCATGTGGGAGAATAAGGAGATGGGGGGCCAGATTATTCTGGGTGCCTGGGAATGGTGGCGACCTTCCTGTTGTAATTTAACCACATACAGTAACCTATAGAAAGGAATCCATCTGAGTCCCTCCTTTCACTTCTCTTCTTTCCCCCTCCCTCCCTATTAGATGGTTTGCACAAGGATCATTTTTATTCCTGTTTTACGGGTGAGGAAATTGAGGTTCATAGATGTCCTAGGAGTTTGACTATAGTGCTGCAAGGACTCTCAGTAGCCACCTATCCTGACCCCCTAATTTTACAGAGGAGGAAACTGAGCCCAGGCGAGTAACAAATAGCAGATTCAGAATCTGAGCCCAGATTCAGTGATCTTTGCCCCCACCCTGCGGTGGTGACTGGCCTGTCATACCAATAGAAGTGTTAGGCACAGGGCCCCCCACTCCAGCAGGCTTCCTACTGTCTCATGCACCCCACTCCTCCCTCTCCTCCAGAAAGGCACAGCCTTGACTGTCTGAGTGCTGGGGAGCTGCTTTTGCCACCTTTTAAGGTCATTGTCCAAGACAGTCAACAAGCATTTATTAAGTGCTTACTGTATGCCAGGTATTTTACCAAACTTTGGAGATATTAAAGAAAAAAGGCCCAAACATGATCCCTGCACCTGAGGAGCCCCCATTCTCCTGGAGGAGAGACTATGCAAATCATTTTGTACATAGATGATCCCTACGGCATACATGAAAAGCCATCACCAAGGGTGAGGGGACAGAAAAGAGCGCCATCCAAGGCAAATCACAGCAGAAGTTTGAAGGGAGCCAGGAGATGGAGGTGAGGGTCCTAAGCATGAGGGTCCGCCGATGCAAAGGCATGGAGGTGGGAGATGTCATGTGCCAAGAACAGCAAGGAAGCCAGTGTAGTCGGATTATGAAATGCATGGAGGGCGTTACTGGGTGAAGACTCTCAAGGGTGGTGGAGACTGAGGAGCCAGCCTCTTTCCTGAAGGTCAGCTTCATCCTTCAATAGCATATGTCCAGAAAGAGGGGAGCTTAGGTTGATCCGTCCCATGCCACTTTGGGTCCAACTTATTCCCTGAGCCCAGAGAATTGAGAATCATCACAGCAAGTGGTTTGGAAATCTCCACAACTGATTCATCCCTAGAAGTCCTGGCCCGACCATAGGGTCCCTCCTGCCATGCATCTGGAGGAGCTTGATGGGAGGCCAAGGCTTATGGCTTTATAATGTGCTGGGCCGCGTCCTATGGCCACATTGTCTGAGCGACAGGGAGTGAGGAGACCCTGAGAACTGGAAACATTAGCTCGCCTAATGAACATCTATGGCATACCTACAGGGGGTACACTACTGTAGTGACTCTAGCAGGTGGCGTTAATGGGGGTGTGTGTGTGCGCACATGTGCATATGTGTGTAGATATGTGTATCGTACATAAATATGCATATATATAATATATATACACATTTCCATATAACTGGTTTCCTTTGTAATCCTCTCTATTTGATTTTCTGCATTTAACAACACTATTTTCAAAAGGGTTATGCCAGATCACCAAAAGGGTCCATGACTCACCAAAGGCTGGCTCTGAACCACTGCCCTCTTGTCCCATGTGTTGTAATGGAAGCTCCTTGAGTGTGCAAAGGTTGATGCCTTCTTGCTCTTTGACCCCCTAGCGCTTAGCACACAGTAGGTGCTTTAAAAAATGCTTGTTGAGTTTCTCGGTTTGGGATGATGACCATGTCCTTCATAGCATCGGGCCGTGGTGCATGGGTCCTAAACTTTGGTCTCTTTCTGACCAGGCTGGTGAGCCTCCCAGATCTCTTAGCACAGCTCTTCTGGGCCAGTATTCGAGAAGAATTTATTCTTACTCCTTATCATCCCTCAAGTAAGTCATTTTCTAAGAAACAGAAGGAAGGGAAACAGCTGTTGCACAACAAGACAAAAGTCGGGAAGGCCAGTGTCTGCAGAACAGTGCACTTTGCTGGGTCCCGGCAGCCAGAGTCCGCTGACCTGAGCCCACGCTGAAGCAGAGCTCCTTGGAGCCAGGAGGGAAATTAATGACTGAATGAACTAAACTTTGGACTCAACCAATGAAGGAACCAATTCTATGAAGCTGTCTAGTTTGTAGAAAGTACGGTCAATAAGCAACCATGCTGGGCTGTGCACACACACACACACACACACATACACATGCACACACGTTATATACTTCTA